GCAGTCGGACTCCTGTGTCCTTGGTTCTGTCACTGACTCGCGGCTGCAGAAAACAAACAGGAGCCTTGCAGCCTTTGCACGTTGAGGAGATCGGTGTGGCCCTAGCCAACCTCTAAGCCTTTAACCTGACGTCTAGCGTCTCTAAATCTAGAATAACCAGAGGTGAGAGCAGGTCCTATAGCCAAAGCTGAATTCAAATCGAATTGAAATCGAATTGGGTTCCAAGGCTTCCAAACCGTGTGAATTGTAAACGAATTGCCCCAGCGAAGTGAAACCGCAAAAGAAAATAATTTCGAGATTTTCCCTTCCTGAAAGGATTTCTATGTCATACATAACTCTAAGCCTAGGCAACCGGGATGCAGTGCCACACAGTGCTCGCAGCTGCCCTGGCAAGGATCTCAACGCAGAGATCGACCGCCTTCAGGTGCAAATCATGCGAGTGAGACAGCCTTTGCCGTCCCAAGTGCTCGATTTCGCAACTGGGCGTCGCAGGGGAAGATACAGGAGCTCGGCGGGCCCGAGGACTGACTGCGGTAGCTCCACTTCGGATCGCAGTGTGAACTTGGGCTATACTTCACCGACATGGTCAGACGGAGGCGATCTGAAAAGTTTCAAGACAGCTCAGTGTGGCCGTGCCAGGCAGCTGTGGCGGAGCAAGGGGAGCTGGTCGAGCTGCTGAAGACCCGCACCACCAACGAGGCCAACTGGATTTGATTTGACTGAGTCTTATTTCTCATGTTCCCATGGTTATTGAATGTTAATGTCGGGGCGAATGCCGTGGTGATTCTTCGAATGACAGTGCAGAGAATGACAGACGAATGCGGTAAGGCACATACCTACATGGCACAGGCAGTATGCAGGTGATGGTACCAACCGTAATGGCTTACCCTGAGCGATCGTCGAGATAGCAGCCAGATGTTCCAGCAGCAATGCCAGAAGCTACGGCAGTGGTTGGGATGATGCCTAGAACTGAGGAGGAACGATATTGTCTTGATTCATTACTGCCGATGGTCTTGAATCACTATTGTCATGGTTTGAATATGGGTAGTGTAGCAGCAGCAGCAGCAGCAGCAGCAGCAGCAGCAGCAGCAGCAGCAGCAGCAGCGGCAGCAGATGGTCGTAGAGCAGCAGGCGTAGCAGTAGCAGTAGAAGTAGCGGTAGCGGTAGCAGACGCAGAAGCAGTAGCAGTAGGAGTAGGGTAGGGGTAGGGGTAGGAGTAAGAGTAAGAGTTGGAGTAGGAGCACGAGGGGTAGTAGGAGTAGTAGACGTCGTAGGAGTAGGAGTAGGAGTTGGAGAGGGAGTGCAGGGAGTAGCCGTCGCCGTAGCCGTAGCCGTAGCAATTGCAGTCGCAGTAGAAGTCGAAGTAGAAGTGAAACAGCTGATCATGGACAGCAGCACGACTGGTACTTTGGTGGGAACTATCGTACGTGTACTTGTACTGTCATGGGCGAGTCGAAACTGGTGGAGAAGTGACATCGCAACAAGATCAGTAGACTCCGAATTGTCATCGCAGAAGCAGTCATACCAGAACCCGTGAGCATGAGATCGCTCTTGAATTTTTTCTGCATAGCAGCAGCTTAAAACATATTTCGAGCGGAACAGCGCCAAAATCAATGACGACATCGCAGACACCAGGAACAGGAATGATCACCCACACAGGATGGGCAATTATGAGGATGATAAAATGGCGGCAGAGAACACCACCAGTGCGCTTTATAGCACTATCCAAATCACCACCAGCAGATGCAGATTCATGAAAGGTCCCCGCACCAGCCTCTCTCTCTCTCTCTCTATCTGGCTTACCTCGACGAGCTCTGGCAAGAAGTGCATGCGAGGCCCGTAACTCCGACATTTCCGAGCAGCAGAAGGACACTTTGGCCATGCTGATGGAGGCGAGTGGGAAGATTGCAAAGCAGAAGTGGTGCACATTCGGCTCAACCGGATACATATTTTGTCCTGCGCTGCTGAATATTGGTTCTGGATTGTGATTTCAGAGTTGCTGGTCACGAAGGAGATGCGCGGCTGCAAAGAAAGAGAGCTAAGTCTGACTTACAGTAAAACCAATCTTGAGAGAGAAGAGTGCGAGCTTGACCTACAAGAATGTCCATGATGTGAAATTATTCTGGCCAGTGACCGGTCGGCATTCTTTTTGCTCGTCTCGCAGGCTCGTTTGGGCGAGATCGAGCGCTTGCAAGAGGCACGAGACGCAGTACGACTGGAGCTGCTGAAGGTCAAGAAAAGCGGAGGCAGCTGGGCACTGCGGAGGGTCCTTTCCACGCCAGCCTTTGAGTTCACAAAGGATTAGAAGGCAGGAGTCCGGAGTGACTCCGGCGAGCCAGTGACAGAAATTCACCCTTCACCCAACTCTGCACGCCAAAGGTAATTTGGAATTCACTCACCCGACAGTTTTTGTGCGAGACCAGCCATCAACTGCTGAACTTGGTCAGGCTCAAGTGGAATCAGGGCCCGGATCTGTAAGAAGCTGCCATTATCTTGAACGTCAGCGTGCGAGGCACGGATGTGGAAGCCCAGGAAGAGTGCATCACCAAATTGGAGGTGACTTGGCCTGCAGCCCCAAGCTGAAGCTCAGTAGCTGACGGCAGTCCGGTGCCGGTTGCTGAGCAACCGCCTCCCATTGACCAGGAGCAGCTTGCAGCTGCAAGGGCTGACTGCCGCCTGGACGGATCTTTGTGTTCTTTGCTGCAAGCGACCCTTGCACATGCTAGATTGCATGCATGCGTGCTGGATGCTGAGGCGAGAAGATGTCCGAAAAGGCCAACATCATATGTAGGAATGCAAGGGCGTGGGCAAACCCATCGTTTCGCAATGAACTTGAGCTCGGCTTTCTGACTCATTTTTTGCGGCAGCCGGAGAGGCTGGAATAGTGTGTATTGGGGATCGCTGGCTTCTGAAAGCCGTTGCACTGTTCAGGCCGCCGAGGTTGGCATGGGCAAGATCTTCAGGGCTGCCATCTTGGCCCTTCACCGGCAGGACTTCGAGATGCCTAGCAGACCTGCATGTTGAACGTGCGGAACTCATTCCGGGTTCAACCGGGCATACCAACACTGGCTGCAGGATGAGGACTCCATGGTCTCCTACCTGCAGGACGAAGCCGAGAAAAAAACACATATTATTGCCTCGATTGAGTTCGTGTTCCTCGCAGGACCAGCTCAATCTCCTGCAGGCGACTTCTGCAGAGGATGCTGCGGAGGTTGGAAGCCACGTAAGATGTCGGGAGATTTACAGGAAGGCCCAACGGAGCCTGCCAGGTAAAGCGCCTTGAGGAGGAAAGCAACGCTGCTTTGCAGAAAGCGCGGGAGGCAGCTGAGGAGGCAGGATGCGATGATGTGAATCGTTGAGGGCGCTCACCTTGAGGCCATGTAGTAGGCACAAACAACCTGTTTTTGGTCACCTCTTCAGGCCTACATTTGCCCACCCCTTGTTGCAGGCGAAGGCGGCTGCAGAAGATGCACTGCAGGAGAAGATGGAGCATGTCCAGGCGCGCTTTAAAACTGAGTCAGCTGAGATGTTGTTACGAAAGGGTCAGGCCGGGGTTCTAATTCACGAAGTTGTCGTGGTTGTTGGGGTTGGGCTTTTAACAGTAGCTTCTCGAGTCGAGATAGGGCAGGACATGTACCGTCGGACCTAAGGTATTTTACAGATTTACTTTAGACGGGAGGCGTGGAGTCAGAATTACGGTTGCCTCGGACTGTATTCTCGTGCAGAACCCCTGTAGAATCTTTACAATTAGGAGCTCCTACAATCTACAGCTTCCAAAACCCCCATGGGAGGTTCTCCAAACTAGGGCCCCTTTCAGCTTTTTTATAAGGGTGCCATACAAATTCAGACAGAACCACCTCCATGGTGAGGCCATTGCGGCAGAGCGCGATGCGGCACAGAGCGAAGCCCGTCGTCTTACGGAGCAGATGGGCAGCTCAAAGGCCGAGTTGGGGCAGTGTGGGTGACTTTATTCTTAGCATTACAAGTATTCTTCGCTTTAGTCGCATTGTTATTGCTATATAATGAGGTTATCAGGACTTCATTATAAGGTCACTATCGATAACTTACTCATAGGGTGAGCTTTATGATGCTCATGAGGGCTCAATGACGACCTGCAGATGTATTCATAAGCTCGACTTCATCGGGGTAGCGACATGGAATCATGATTTCTTCGGAAGCACAGCCTGAAGTTTACGACTTTTTTTGGGGGTGCTCCTCAGAGTTTTAACTTGTGCAGATGATTTCAAGGCTGTTTCAAGCGTGTGAGGGCTCGGGTAGCTGTGTAGGCACTCCTGCCAGAGGGCCTGAGAACATACTTGAGTTGTGCGTGCACGGGATGTTACGCGATGTTGGCAGGAAGATCTCATGGAGAAGCAGGAGGCAATTGCCGCCATCATCCGTGCCGTGTTCGCAGACAGGTACAAATACACATCGCCCCCATCCGACAACCGAATCCTCAGGATCGGAAATGCAGTCTTGGGAAGACAAGCTCCAGAAAGCCGACGAGTCCGAGAGGTGTCGCGCCACAAAACCTATCGCCTTCATGGCTTGTTATTGCATGCGCGCAGTGCGTAAACTTGGCAGGGTCTTGAAGAAGTCCTTCGAGGACATGGGCGTGGCGGACTTACAAGTCTCACAACTCGGCTGGTGTGCTCACTTCGGCATTGCTTCGTGCTGCTTCGGTTCGAGCAGCCGAAGTAGGATTCGCAGAGTGGGTCCGCATTCCGGCTCGCCTGCGTGACTGAGCGAGCCTGCCACCCTAGGTGAGTTTGCAGGATATGATGGCGATGATCACGAAGGGCGGTGGCTTTGGTGGAAAAGATGGCGCTGTATGCCATTTCGTCAACCTGTGTCGCCTGGATGATCCAGTTCAATCAGACACGTAATCAGACCACGCATTAGCTGCAGTAGCTCCTGTGCGTCCGGTCTTACACCATGTCGTAGCATTGTGGATCTGTAAACGCCTTGCCACTCGCGTTGAAGCTGTGGCCAAGGTGAAGATGCTCATGACGATGGCTTTCGTCTTACACCATGTCGTAGCATTGTGGATCTGTAAATGCCTTGCCAGTCGCCGCCAGTCCTGTTGAAGCTGTGGCCAAGGCTTAATCTATCTCATCCCCGAAGGCACAACCAAGATCAAGAAGTACGAGGACGACGATGAGGACGCCGCGAGATTCACGACTTGCATCCGTGTCCCTCAATCAAGATCGAACAGCAAGCAAGCTGCGAGCTTTGACATCTCTTTCGTTTTGTTCTACCTCGTTGCAGGAAGTCTGCATCAAGTTGGATGGCGACAGCATACGGCCTGTGCATGCGATCCTGGAGTCTCTGGAATCCAGTGGCCGGGTGCTGAGAGGTTTTGAGACTATCTGCATCCCTGCCTGTGCCCCGACCGCAAGGAGTTACGATCAAATCTGCAGAAAAAGATGCCGTTCTTTGGGTCGGCTTGGCATGCATTTAGTTGTTTGGAGAGTACCAGGGCAGCACGGATACAAGTGCACCAGGCCGTTGTAGCGAGCCGTGTGTGCAGAATCAGTTTTTACAGGTCAATGTCATGTGTGCTGGTGTTACCCGAGCCACAGCTTGCAAAAGGTCAATGGCAACGCTGTCGAGTACGGTGGGGCCGGGGTTCCTCGGCCGGGAAACGCAGACAAGGCACTGAACACCTGGAAGCCAGAGCAGCTGACAGGGATTTAGGCTGGACTACATAGATGGCCACCAAGGTGCGATTGGAGCACGGCGCGCGCGTCATTTTCGGAAGTGACTTTGTATTCAGGCGGGACACAGGCCAAAATAACTGTGCAGAATCGTGCCTGAATGGTACTGAAGCTCCGCCTGTCAGGTTTGTGGATCCTAAGGGGAAAAAGGCGAAGAAAGTAGCTGCTGCAGCAACCTCCACTGGCTTCGACGACAAGGGCATGCCGGTGGTAATTGACTGGCATTATGCTATGGCCGAGTTGTCCCGCAAGAATGGGGTGCCTGTGCTGTGTCAGTGTGCTTTCGGAGGAGACATGCTGACTTCATAGTGCGACACAGATACAGCAGGACTGACCCCACTCGTCGTTTCCTTCCAGAGGTGGATGCAGAAGAAGAGATCCGGAAAGCAAGAGAGAAGTTGAATGATGAGATGGCAGAGAAGGAGGCATTTTTTTTGGAGATTCGTCGGTACAGCCAAATTTCAAGTGATCCCATAGCATCTTCACTGCTGCAGGCCAAACTGGCCGAGGAACAGAAGATGCTGGAGGACATGTCCTTGGGGCACGCATGCTTGGCCTCTGCGGTGTTGCCGTGTAAGGCTAATTTTTATTTGTGAGCTTCTTGATTCTCGGGTTATGCGATGCCAAGTGCATGGCAGCCCAGAGCAGGAGAAGATGGAGGTGGAGCGAGCAGAGACACCGGGCGGCACCATGAGTCGAGAGACGAGCGATGGACATCGCTGCTAGCAGTATGTGAAACAAGCTAAGGTACGAAAAGCAGATCGAAGAATTGAAAAAAGGAGCCAAAGCGTCTGACCCCGAGAAGCTGAAAGAGGCCGGGCTGCTTGTCCGCTTACATCAAATAGAAACACGTTGCAGCTGCGAAGGAGCAGATGCAGACGCAGTTGACACTTCAGAAGTCCCCATCTCAGAGGCATTGGGGAATCTTTCTTGGTGCAGTAGTCGACCTTGACAACGCAGCCACAGGCACGTGGGTGAGTCCCGAGTTCTGGAGAAAACTTGCTTGCACATTCTCCGAGCTTGGCCAGAGCTCAGGTTCAAAAGCAAGCTGGACATGCAGAGATCACGAGCTCAGTGGGTTCGTGCTGCCTTCACAGCCGGCAAGGCGTGACAATCAATAGCATGGGGAGGGTACAAGATCAATTGCAGTTTTACGAGCTTGTTTTCACTGTTTCCTTTAGTAGTGCAAAGTTCAATCGAACAACGTCGATGTGCTTTCGAGGATTCCCGATTTGAGTTGGACATCCGCCTCTCACGTCAGCAAATGGCCGAGCTTCAACCTCGGTTGGTGGAGGTGGGAGGTACGACTTATGTCTGCCGCGTATGGACAACCATAAAAACCCTGAAGGCAAACAGAATCGCCGCAAATGTGGGGGTGCAGCGGCAGAGCTGCACTATTGTTCTGGTCAGCTGGCTGAGCCGCAGTTGCTTCGGTCTTTGATGTCGGTGGCACGCCTGAGGTATGCCTTCCATTTCATCGATGCCATAGACCCCAGGCTTGCAGGATGTTTTATTTGGGGGATTTGAGAACGCGACCGAGTTCTCGTAAGTTCAGCCTTTCGTGCCCAGCTCACGCCAGACTTGATTTTGCTACATTCTGCATATACAGCCGACATGTGCAGGGCTCGAAGACAAGACTCCAATGTCGACGAGAAGATGGTTGAGGAAGCCAAGCGGCTGCTGCTTCAAGTCAAGGCACTAGTATTGCCGCGCAGCATGGGAAAGAACATGTTTGAGTCGACATGTGTTTATATATATATATATATAGGTATGATTTGTGTGTATATATATATACATGCATACATTTATACATGTATATATAAGTAGATAACATGAATAATGGGAGTGTCGAGACGGCTGGACCAGGCCAACTCGACAGACTCCCCTGGCACGCTGAAGTGCCTGTGCCAGCTCAAGGAAACGCAGGAGGCCATGGAGAAGATGGAAATCGCCATGAGTAGGATCGCGGCTACGATGGACAGCCTGTCCGAAGCTGTTGCCACGCTGGACGCCGCGGTGGACAGCGTCTCCAAGCGATGTGACATCATGGCCAAGCACCTACAGGGCACGGCAGCGCTTCGCCCAAAAGCGCCTCCGCCTCCTTTCCCGGCACCAGATGTCATGCAGGCGACGGATCCACCGCCGCCCTCCGCCCCGCCGGGCCAATGGGCTCAGACGCAGTCACAAGCAAAGGCGGCTGGACTGCAGACTGCGCCCCAACAGATGCAGCAGCCACTTGGGACGCCCCTGCAACAAATGCAGGTCCCACAGACAGTGATGTGGAGCCCTATGACCCCCTCGACACTCACAGGGAACGTCGTGGCGCCTGCCAACCTGGGGCAGATGGCCCATGGTGTGGGAGCAGGTCAACAGCAGAGTGGGCCGAAGCTTGTGAATCTGATGGTCAATGGAGAGTCCTTCTTGGTCCCTGAGTCGGTAGCTGCTGCCCTGAATCCAAGATCGTAGGCTGCAGCATGTACACTAGAGGCTTTTCGGCCTCAACTTTGTAAGCTGATATGCACTGTTTTTGCACTGCCTTCCCTTCCCCCTTGCCTGTACCATAACTTTACACACTGTAAAATACCTGTACTGTTTCTTTTTGCACTGTCTGCCTTACCTTGACCTAGCTGAACCGCTTGTGGAAACAAATTTTTGAGCGACTTTGTGAGTGACTGTGCCAGGCATGCCGAAGTTCCGGGGGATAGTACATGCTACATTTCATGTATGCACATGAAGGGTCCGTGAGTGAATGCACAGGTGGCTCGGACCTTAGCTGGAAGTGCACACTGGAGAGTGAATTTGTCCATGTACTTTCTACGGATGCGGAAGTGAAGTTGCACTGTCCTTCCTTGCCTTGCACTGCTTCTCCTGCCTTGCCCTTGCTGCCCCACCTCTTTTGCTGTACTCGCTCACTTTGCTTGCACTGTCTTTTTCGCTGCACTTGCCTTACCCGCACTGCTTGTTATTGTACCGGCCTTTACTTGAAAAGTTTTGTGGATTCCTTGAATTCCCCTGCACTGTTTTTTGGCACTGCCAAGACCTTCTGCCCCTGTCCTCGCCTCAGCTTCCGGAGACCCCACTTATTTTCCAGCCGTAAGCCTGTTATCCTTGTTGGTGGGTGATGATGTGGTGTAGATGGCGATATACAAGGCTTGCGGGTTTATCCCTGCCTTCCTGCTGCTGAACCGATAACCCTGCCCTAAAGCGAAGCTGTTGCATGCGGGTTATCCCCGCGAGCAGACGGAGAAGTGGCGGATCCCCCGGGAAGACATCGGGTTGGTGCTGGCGGGTGTATCCCTGCCTTACCATGAGCGACCAGAGACACACACGTAGACCTCCTGCGCAGCCATGGTTCTCTTTGTCTCCACAACTGCGGCACACAAGCCGATGGATGAGGAAACCGCTTTAGGTTCCTGGCTAGCCTCCTCGCTTGCTGAGAAAGCCTGGAAACCCTGAACAACTACAGGGGAGCATGCTTTTTTTATTTGGGGACTGCGTGGTTGCGACACGAAGTTGGCAAAATTTCAGGCCAGATGGAACCTACCACTGAGAAGCAGGAGGTGGCCTGCGCAGGGGCTGCGAGATGGCTGCTCTGGCTGTTTTTGCTGCTACGGAGATCTTCTACCTGGGGGAGAGCTGAGGATACAGGGATACGCTGTTC